CAAAGTCACCATTAGTAAGCACCAACATTCATTATTTCTCCTGTTGTGCCGTTATATGTCGCATAGAGCTCGCAGTTTATTTTTCCATTCTTTTCTATCATGTGTAGTCACTTCGATATGGGAATCCAGCCCAGCACCGTTGGCCTGTCTTATCAGCATTTGCTTTTCCCCATGTGGGTTCTGGGGCCCCATTGTGGGGAAAACAAGATTAGACCCACTGCCTCCCCAGAAAGCTAATTAGGGACTTCCTTTGAAGTCAGAATGCATCCACCTGAGTGGCAAGGAACAACCAACTGCACACAGATAAGCCAGTAAAATGGGTGTACACACAAAACTGGCCCCTCACAAACCTAAAGTCTAAATGGACAAACAACAAGGACTTTCCACCAGAGCTTACAGCCGTTGAACAATTAATAAGAAGACGTAGAACCTTTCCTTTAAGGTTTCTCTTGGACATCCTCATTCCCTCAGTCTCCCCCCCTCCCCCCATTTCCCATTTCAGTACCTGTTTGGAAGCAGTGACACAGTGCTTTATTAGACCTTGTTTTGTTTGATAAAACCTGTAGCTGATTTTCGGTGACATTGCCAGCTATGCCCATTCAATCAGGTTCCTTTACAAAGATAGACTCATTGTATCTTTAGTACTCTGTGTCTCATAACCTGGATGTATGCTCCCTGGATTATAATAAGGTGATTTATATTAAAAATCGATCATCCCCTTTTTTATTTGCTTGCTTAGGGACAAAGCACTGTTGACGAAAACTGGATGTCATAATAGTCTGGAGCCTTCTCTGAAAATTAAACAAAAAAATTTTAATTTTTAAAATTTTATTTTTAATATGGGCGTTAATTTTTTTGCCCAAAAAGATACAAATGGTTATTAATCACCATTTAAAGAACAAGATTACCTAAGTAGGAATATTTGCTAATAAGGATAGTGAAAAGTTAAAAAAGAAAATAATACAGTATATACAATTTTTTTTACAGAGAAATTAATTTGAAACAGTAGTCATAATCATTAGTTGAAAAGCTCATTATTTAAATGTGTTGTCTTTGTTGTAAATGTTTTAACCTGCCATTAAATTACACTATTTCTCACTATTTTTCAGCTGACTTTGGTCTTGCCAAGCAGAAAAGAAGTGACTGCAGCAAAATGACGTCAGTTGTGGGGACCATTCTGTATTCTTGGTGAGAATATTTACACATTGATAAAACAGTTGTAGTGAGAGAGAGAGAGAGAGAGAGAGAGAGAGAGAGAGAGAGAGAGAGAGAGAGAGAGAGAGAGAGAGAGAGAGAGAGAGAGAGAGAGAGAGAGGGAGAGAGGGAGAGAGAGAGAGAGAACATATATCTTTATCTGTATTTAAAGAGCTGTTATAAAAATTTTATGAGAAGAAGAGATCTCCATTTAAAAAAAAAAAAAAATGATAATTTGGCCAGTAGATCAACCCAGCCTAAAAATATGTATCAAGAAATCTTTTCAGAAATGAAGATGATCAGTTTGGTATTTACCAGATTACCCCGGAGTGTTAACTGGTTTATAAAAATATGGGACAAATGCCACCTGCTTATGTCATAAGGGTTTTTACTGTGGCATTTAAACTGACGTCAATTTTTAAAAGATTCATTTCTTTGGGGATTTGAACCCACAACCAGTGGTCTCTAAGTTGAGAACTGCTAGAATTTACTTAATGGTGAAAAGACAAATTTATTCAAAGCTAACTCATGGTTGTGATTTTTAAATTTTAATAGGAGAACCACTGTAATCTTGAACTGTTAATTCTGAACTGTTAATTCTGAACTGTTATTCTGAACTGTTTATTCTGAACTGTTGATTCTGAACTTAATTTGCAGCCCTGAGGTGGTTCAAAATCAGGCTTATGGAGAGAAAGCTGATATCTGGGCTCTGGGATGTATTTTGTATCAGATGTGTATGCTGGAGCCACCTTTCAACAGTAACAATATGTTGACCCTTGTCAAGAAGGTATGTGTTCTGTATTTGATTATCCCTATTTGGATTCTGGGGCCCCCAATGGAAAAAAAAGGGGGCATGAAAGTGATGAGGAGAGGGAGGGGGGAATTAGGAAATCATATGTTTTAGCCACACAAAAAAGCACATTTAACACAGTCTAGCTAAAAACCACAACTTAGCATACCAGCCACCCTTTTCAAACACAGAAGAAGATAAAGATATTTGATTAGAAGTTTGGAACTGTACAGGGTGAGTCAGAACTATGGCCACCTAATTGCAGATGTTAAATATCAAATGACAGTATGTGCACGTGTTAAATATCACATGACAGTATGTGCACGTGTTAAATATCAAATGACAGTATGTGCACATGTTAAATATCACATGATAGTATTTTGGCTATGGAAATACAACCACAGAAAAGGTAGATTTTTTTTAACTGGCAATAACTATCTTGAAGAGTCATAATAGCTGACTCCAAATGTCTGGCAGAGATTAAGACAAGAATCACCATGCCAAAAGTGGCCTTTAGCAAAATGCAAAAAAATGCTTACCAGTAAGAAAAGATTTCAGCTCTGATGAGAGAATAAACAATTTTAAATTGCTGTATAAATCTGTGTTGTTTTATACTTGTCAGACATGGACAGTAATTAAACAAGGTTAAACAAAATACATCCTTACAGTGGGAATGCCGGCGTCTGTGGCTTAGGCGTTGCAAACGTGCTTCGTAATGCCGGGGTGCCGGGTTGGATCCCAGTTGCAGACAGTCTTGCATTGGTTTTGACAGTGGTACCAAGAGCTGGCAATTAAGAAAGCAGTGGCAAACTAGTGAAAGTAACAAATTGCCTAGAAAAACCACAACAGCCGAACGATGCTGGGGTTGGTTCTGCAACGTCCTGTAACACAGTGGAGATATGGTTTTTGAGAAGATGCAAACTGTATGAGGAAATTATTATAAGAAAAACAAAATGAGGTAGTCCTCCTTTAGACATGAAAACTGCAAATTGAGTAAAGAAAATGTGTTATTTGGACATGCTGTGAGGAAGAACAGACTGGAGAACTTGGTGACAACTGGAAAGATTGATGAAAAAGAGCAAGAGGAAGGCAGAGAGATACAAACATGTATGGCTTAGTGGTGGTGGTGTATTGTTCTGGTGATTCTATAAGATGTCAAAACATAGAGGTGAATTATGAATACAGGCTTGATGCACTTTTCTGGTGATTGTGTAAGATGTCGAAACATAGAGGTGAAGCATACTGACCTGATGCATTTTTCTGATGATTGTTTAAGATGTTGAAACACAACCACCTTATTTATATTACACATGATGATGATGATGATGTTTTATTTTAGATTGTGGCTGCAGAATACAAGCCAATTTCAGAGAAGTATTATTCCACACGACTCGTGGATACTGTAAAAAGGTACGAAACACTTACTGTTTTAAACAATCATAGGTTGAAGCTAAATGTGGATACCAGTTTATAAATATATATATGTGTTTGTGTATGTATGTATGTGTGTGTGTGTGTGTGTGTGTGTGTGTGTGTGTGTGCATGGTTGCGTGTGTGTGTGAGCATGAGTGAGAGAGAGAGAGAGAGAGAGAGAGAGAGAGAGTAGGAGAGAGAGAGAAAGCAGTATCCAGAAGACCCGCCTCAAGAAATTATCTTGGCTGTTGACACCTGAATATGGCAGGGTGAAAAGGAATGAAAGAGCTTACAGACTGGCCATGTCTGTAGTGATTTGTGGAGGAAGAAGTATGGACAGGGCAGACATACTGAATGTGCTGGGTTCTAAGGACTTTGAGATGAAGAAGTCTGAGACAATAAAACGCCTGTTGGAAATGGGTATTAAAAGAGGACAAGCATGCAGAAACTGGTTGTGAGGCAAAGAAATAAGATATGCCAGTCAACTTCTACTGGATACTTTGAGCATGGAGACCCTGAGATGGCTGCTTCATCAGAGGATGGAGTACGTATGGGTCAGACCGATGTGCTAAGATGTTGATATGGACAACAAGCAAATTAATGCATTTATTTTAACATTTTTCAGCTGCTTGTCTGTGAGTCAAGAAGACAGGCCTGATATATTGGAACTGAGTGGTCAGTTGTCTGACATACTGTTGACACACATGGATGTGCTGCGCATCTCACAAACAGCACTGGAGAAAAAACTGGACAAGGAGAGGAGAAGAACACAGAAGTAAGGGATGCTTTATACTCTTGATATTTTGATGTTTTATCCATTGAGAATATCACATTGTTTTGATTATTTTTGCATCCATCATGTCACCCCAGGGACAAATTGTGGTGACTAGGGAGCAGAATAAGAAGGTTCGTAAATAAGGACTAATGTTGATGTTATTGCTTATAAGCAGAGCTGCTTCCTGTGTGAGTTCCTTGAGTGTGGAGTAATAGACCCCCCCCCCCCCCCCTCCCCGCCTACACTCCCTCCCCCCCCCCCTCCCAATACACATGTCATAAAATTAAGAGTTTGCTGAAAGTGGGTGTGTTAGACCCAAAAGCCCACATATCAAAGTCTAGCTGTAAACCTTAACCCAAGGTGCCTGCTGGTCATATAAAGATGAATGCAGAAAGAAAACAAAACAGAAGAAGAAGAATCAGTGTTTCAGTTGATTGCTTTCTGCAGCCACTAGATTTTTCTAGGTGTCTTTTCAGTCACAAGTTTGTTTTAATTCGAGTAGAATATTAAAATTCAGAAGAGGAGAGGAACATAGAGCATGAGGTAGGCCAAGTACAAAATAGAAAGATAATATAAGAGAAACTCTACTACTACAATGTGTCTATGTTTGAGGGAGGCCAGAAGACCAAGAAGCAGAACCTTGACACCAGAAGCATTATTAAAAGGAAAAAGGAGAAAAAGAATGTTTTAATGGCAATAATGTATTTGTTAACAAACATTTATTTCCTAAGCATAAGCTATAGGATGTGTACATATTGTTCCCAAGACTTGTAAAATATTAATTTACTTGTGTTTACAACCAGACACTATATAGAAGCCAACCAGACTATGCAGAATTACCATCGTCTGTTCCTGGCTTCTGAGGAAGGCTATGACAAGCTCACCAATCTGTCAGGCAGTGGAGGGGCAGAGGGATTAAAGGTAAGTTGTAAGACGAATGTCTTATGTAAAAAAATACATGTTGTCTTCTTTTTCTTCTTCGCTTTTTCTTTCTCCTTCTCCTCCTTCATCTCTTGTTTTCTTCTTACTCTGTTTTTTTTTTATTTTATTTATAAAATTTAAAAAAAAAATTTCATGTCTTCGTAAGGGTGGTTGGCACACTGTGTTGTAGTTTGTAGCTAGGCTGTAATATATTTATGATTCGGCTCAAAAGATACAATTTCAACAAACCCCTAATTAGTTGCCTTTGACAACAACATCTCTGTTAAGTGGCAGTAGGTCTATTCAGTTTTTTTTCCCCCAACCACAGTCGGGTCCGGAACCCATTTAATGATAAAACATGTATACTGAGATATATAGGCAGGTGTGATGGCTGAGTTGAGGTAAAGAGTTATGGTTACATTATAGTGAAAAACTGATGAGACTAAAGGTGACTCATAGGTAGCTCCTAAATGCTTTACCTTTATTGAACAGGGCGCTCATATCTGAGGCTGGTTAACTTGGGTGAACTTTCCCAAAAATTGTCTTCATTGGTTGATTGATTGTTTTTGTAAAAAAATATACAAAAGGGAAGTCTGATTGTTTTTTGCTCTGATATACTTGTAATATTCCTCTGTTATAGGAAAAACCGTCAAGTGACCCATTTGTGGATAGCAAGGACACTGGCAGCTCAAACAGTGTGACACTGTCTCTAAGTTCTATACGCTTTGGGGATATTTCTGGTAATTAGTAATGTGATTTTATAACTACTTTGTAAATTATGTAAACATAATTTTCAGTTACAGGTAATTTGCAATTCAAAATTTCTATCCTTTGTCTGATGTTTTTAATGGCCTTGGCCCATCTAATGGAGTCACCCTGTACCTTTTGCTTATAACATTCTAACCCTTTGTAACACCATGATAAATTCTGTCAATTCTCTCAGTATTTCAATCATTTTAATTGATATTGCATTACAATTTATAGTATATTTGTTCAAGCTAAAAGCTGAAAAGTTGCTTCTCAAAGGTAACTCTACCAGATTGATGTACTGCTACTGCGGTAATTTCCTAATCTGCCGCTAAACCGGTGTACTTCATTGTCGGTACTTTGCGTGCTATGGGAAAACAATGCGTCACAAACTAAAAATCACTAGCCTTGTCATTGCGAATTGCTGTCCATATGTGTTTGGATTTAATTTGTGTGTTTAACGGGAAAAAATTTGGAAAATTCACAATGAAAGGAGCGGCTGATGAATCAGGCACTTTGACAGGAAAGTGAAGTATGTCTAGGCTATTGACAGTCCAATAGGTGATCGATACTTTGGTTGATTCAGATGCTGAGGAGTCAAAATTTCATGAAGAATATGTTGTGGTTGAAGTGACACAGTCAGTGTGAGCTCGAGTAATGAGGAGAATCTTGAAAATGAAAGATTTAAAACTAGATTGATAGTAAGAGAAGGGGGCATATACCTTGAACAACACCAACTAGTGCTCACTTTTTTAAACAAGGCCGATCTTACTAAGTGGAATGGCACACAAAGGTGAAATATTTGCGCTAGATGAAAGGTAAACCTATTTTCTACAATGTCTCCAAGTTTCATCTTATTCTAACCACTTGTTTGCATGTAACTAATATTTTTGTATATTATGTTTTTGTGTGTGTGTTGATGCCCAGGAGCTCAGGTATAGGGGGCAGTTAGGTTCAGGGCCTCAAGTCTGGTAGGGTTAAGTATAAACAATAATATATTGAGATGGAATCTAGCATTTTTACATTAAATCAATACAACCTTTAACTTTGAGCCCCAATGAACGCATCATATTTTCATAGCTTACTGCCTAGAAGCCCAATGAACGCATGATGCACCGATTTTACGTCTGTTTTGACTACCCCTTGGGCCTGTGATGCTTAAACCTCTGGGACTCAAAGAGTTAATGAAGTTGTAATTATTTATTGTGGTTTTTTTCATTACAAAACCTGAATCAATGCTTGCCATACTTTATTATTTTAATTTGTGAAACAGGAATACTAATTTTAAAGATAGTGTAGCAATCATATTCACATTCAGTCTGTATTTTTGAAAAGAATATGTTATGAGAAACTGAATTAAAACTATAACATATTCATTTAACTGCAAACTACATTTGGACTTTTATTTTATGCTATGAAAGTTGATTCTTTGACAGCTGATAAAACTGAAATCCTGTCATTTATTTTATGCTATGAAAGTTGATTCTTTGACAGCTGATAAAACTGAAATCCTGTCATTTATTTTATGCTTTGAAAGTTGATTCTTTGACAGCTGATAAAACTGAAATCCTGTCATTTATGTTATGCTATGAAAGTTGATTCTTTGACAGCTGATAAAACTGAAATGCTGTCATCATCACCAAATATCTTGTCCAAATGTGGGTAAACATGATTTGCCACATCATAAACGATCTTCAGAATCATGTCCTGGACTAGAAATATAATAATATAATTTTCTCACTTCTTCTTTTGATTTTTCTTCTTTTGTAAAATCTGTTTTATGCCACTTGGTGTTGCAGTTTAACAGACAATATGTAGCTGAGTTATGGCACACTCAGGTGCTTGGTATGCTGTGATGTTGTGAAGTCTTAGACTGTCAGTAACCCATTCAGTCCATCTTCTTCTAGGTCTCCCTCTATCTCTTAATGTTTCTGTTTTTGTGATATATACACACAAGCTGCCAGCATGTCTGGATTCATTCTCATTAGATGGTTGAACAGTTACAGTCTTTGTTTCCCATAATACTTTGTGATGGGTTCAATGGTTCTTTTAATTCTAAGAAGGCTAACATGGGCAAAAACTACCTGTGGATGTCGCATGTGTCAACCAGAATGTGCAGATATTGCAGCCATGTTGTAAACCGGCACAATGCGTTGACATCTTTGAATTAATGCAGAAGAAAAATAAGTCATTTTAATCTCTTATTTCTCCCAAGGTAAATTAAGATTTTGTTTGCAGTCTTTCTTAAACCATCTAATTTCACCGATAGTTTTCTTTTGTATTATTTGGTTAATGTTCAAGTCTGAATGAAAACATCAATACAAAACTTAGCCAACTATTTACAGACGAGGACAGCTACCCCAGCAGTGGAAGTGAGAGTAGAGAGAGCAGCGCAGGCAGTGTGCGAACACGGCATCCTTGTCCTCCGCCCCTGGAAACACATCTGATCACACGCAGATTGTTACAGAGACAGAATCTGAACTCATCACAACTGAGCTCGCTAGAATTGGAAATCCCTGCAGCTGGTAAGATCAGTTGACTATGCATAGAGTGTTTGGCGTTTGTATGTGTAAGTCCAGTGTTGTATCAGTTTCAAGTCTTATTTTTCTTCTTCTTCGCGTTCAACAGCTGTAAACTCTAGCGGAAAGTTCTGGTTGTTTATTTACTTCTGGACTGCAGTCCTGTTCCAGAACCTGCGTGTGCATCCATTTTGCATATCTGACTTGTTTGTATGCAGACTGCTGGTTCCTTGCCTCTCAGGCAGATGCACTCCCACTTTGAAGGAAGCTCTCAGTCAACTCTTACGACATTCTTTAGGGTAGGCAGTGGGTCTGTTCTTGTTTTTCTTATAACTGGGCTCTGGAACCCACACAAGGACAGTTTCAAGTGAAATATTTAGAATGAAAGAAGTTTTTGCAGGTAGGCAGAATTTGCTTTAATTTCATAATGGAAAGGGTGTCTTCTTCTTCTCCCACCAGTTCTTCTTCCTCCTTCTCCTTTATTTCTCGACTCCCATTGTATCTGATTTCCTCATTCAACTCGTGATAAACCCTGTGTAAGCTTCTTTGTAATATGGACTAATTATGTTGCTTAATTGTTCTATGGCATGAGGTAAGAATTCTCATTCCATGCCAGCCTACCTAAGTAGCATCTCATGACTTGCTGAATAGGTTACACTGTTTTTTGGGTGTGTGTTTTTATGCGGGCGGGTGGGTGTTGTTGTTGTTATTGACTTGCAGAGACTGCATTCTGTTTCAAACTTGTCACAAGGGACAGCGATGGATATTCCATGTGGTTTTCGCTGGCACAGGAACGGAGCAGCTATGTTATGATCAGTTTGCTGTGAAGTTGAGATTAACTAATTATATGTCAACTTTAAAAAACTAGCAACTGCATAATTTGTATTTGTTGTTTAAATTACCACTTGAGCTTGAGTAAGCAGTCTCCTTAGTGAAGTGGTCAAGTTGTTTGCCACGCACTCTGAATGTGGTGGGTTCATTTCATGGCTGTGGTGTTAGGTTCACGAGTGCAGTTTTTACAGAGATCCCTGGGTTTCACTACTGGAGCTATGGAGTTTGCGCTTTGTGCGACACACTCTGCAGGCAGCTACTGTTCCGTGGAGAAAGACTGAGCCACCTGGGATAAAACTTGGTGCAATGAGATCTATCCTCTCATCTTCAGCTTAAACTTTAAGCAGAAAATATGTTTCCAGATTTTACAATTATATGTTAGCAGGCAAATGTTTCTGAAAGAAACACTAAGCAAGCGTAAAAATAATTGGTACATTATTTTTTATAATTTGCTATCTCCCATTTTGTGTTGTGGGGTCCCATTTTGGCAGAAACAAAACGGACACACGACCACAAACAAGCGTATAAGCAAAAGGCAATTAATTAGGGATGTTACCTTCAAAGTCAGAATATATCTCCCTGAGAGGAAAGGAATGAACAGTTGGCCTATAATTAAGTCAGACATGTGCATGCAACACACAGGTTCTGGAACAAGACTAAAAAATCCAGAAGTGGACGAACAACCATAACTTTGCACTAGAATTTACATCCAATGAATATAAAGAAGAAGATACTTTACCCTGTTTAGTTGTAATATTGTAGTAAATGTAAATTATGTGGAGGCTGATGTTTCGGATGTGTTATGGTAGTCAGGAAATATGTGTATCATACAGACAATTAGAAGTAACAATGTTTTTTTGGCTAAAGATAGATAAAACATTTAAATGTCATAAATAATTATTCTAATTTTGATTTTCCTGGTATTAGCAAAAACAAGTCGGGACTCAGGAATTGGTTCTGGTGACCCTTCTCCTAATACAAGCAACTCACCTTCCTCTCAGAATGTGGATTCCATGGTGAACGGATGTGGACAAATGAGGCACAACATCGTGCATTCTTATAGTATTCCTGAAGCAGGAACTATACATTTTCATCACAAATTGGATAAGAGATCCAGTAAGTGCCATTACTGTTTTCAGTTAATAATGATTAGACATTCCTTTGTATATACATACATGTGTGTTTGACACTGTTCTAACTTTAACATATTTATTTATATTAGACATAACAAGCATGTCATTAAAATTGACATATTAGGTTGTTTTTTTTTTTAAGTCAGAGTGCATCTGCCTGAGAGACAAGGAACCAGAAGTCTGATTAAAAAAAAAAAAAAAAAAAGCCAGATCTGTCAAACGGATGTGCACGCAACACTCAAGTTCTAGAACAAGACTAAGTCCAGAAGTGGATGAATAACCAGAACTTTCTGCCAGAGTTTACAGCTGGTTAATGCTCAGCAAAAAAAAAAAAACATTTGTGTGAAATGCTTAAGTACAACATTATTAAGCCAACACATTTCATTTTTTTTTTATAAATCACCACCAGGGAGCGCAGCAATGCTGGCTATCTCACCTAGTCGACTACGAGAAATCAATGATCCGGTTCAACAGATTCTGCACCAGTTGCACAAAATTGTTTATATAACTCAGGTAATTATTATTTGTCTCAATGCCTTTTTTCTCATGTTTCTTTGCCGTGTCCTTTTGTCATCATTATCTTCCTGTTGTGCTGTTGTACATCACATAGAGCTTTCGGTTTCTTCTTCCATTCCATTCCATTCTATTTGTTTCAGTATAATGGATGGCATCCACTTAAGCAGCTGTGGTCTCCCTCATCAACCTAATGTCCTTTTATGTTCAGACTATAATTATCATTGGCCTGCTTGTGTAAATATTTGATATGTGTAGACAAATAGAGATTTCAACCCACCTGAATCCCCTTATAGGTTTTGGGCCCTAATTATGAGGGGAAGAAAAGCATGTTGTACAAGGCATAGATATCACAGTCTAGCTGTAAACCACAACACAGTGTACCATCCACCCTTCTGAGAGGGAATGAAGAAGAAGAAGGAGAGTCCACCTCATCATTTCCTGGCCTAGAATGTGCACAAACTGACAGTTCATGCCTCAGTGGCAGTACCTGTCATCTGGCACTTGGTTTTTTTTAAAAATTATTATTTACATGGGAAATAATGAACCTGTGTTTAATTCATAAAGTGAATAGAGATATAAAACACTGACTTCAGTGTATTTTTTCTTGGACATGTTATGAGATGGAATAGACTGTGTTACAACTGACATGGAAATAGGGTAAGACAGGGAGATAAGTACCTGGACAGCTTAGCCATAAGGATAGGGCAAGAGAAAAACACTGCCTGATTTGTGATTCTGTTGATTAAGTAAAATGACGAAACATGACAGCTTATGCTTATCAACACAGCACATAATAATGACGATGATTTAAGTAAATGTTTGACATGACTGAACTATTGTGATGCTTTTTTTTGTTGTTGACATGACCACTAATGTTCTCTGTTGTCTGCAGTTGCCACCAACTTTAAGCCCAAACCCCAACCGCAGGATCGTAGAGCAGTACAAGCGGGCCCTATTTGCCACAGGAAGCAATGGAATGAACTTGAAAAGTGAGATGAGGAAGGTTCGTATTGTTTAGAGCTAAAATTATGTGTATTCTCTTCTTGTTCAGTTTTTCAAACCTGAGTGAATTTGAATTAACTCTTTTAGTCCCTGGGATTTAGCATCGGAGGCCCAAAGGGTAGTAAAGAGAGACTTAAATCAGCGCATCTTGTGTTGGTTGGGCATCTAGCTAGGAACTATTGAGCGTACAGTTTGTTCCTTGGGACTGAAAGAGGAAAAACAAAAACTGACATGACAGCACTCATTCCTACAAACGCATTTTACCCATATTCAGCAGCCAGCACAGAATTCCACTGCCAGTGGTACTAAAAGCAGTCTGATTGTACTTTTTTCTTGTCTTTTCTTTGAAAGTTAAGTGCTGGCCAGATCCCCTAAGCACTTCATTACCTACTGCACCATTCTCTTCTGACCATGATGGTCTATTTGTGCATCCAGGGAATTGATCTGTTTCTAGAGCTAGGTATCTTCTACAGCTGTCAGGATCTTTGCTTACAAGCACAAACTTTTTTTTTAAAAATCATTGTTCTCTATCCTTAATCACATTGATGTGAAATAAAATTACTTGACTGACTCAGGCTTAACAGTGTAACCCTGTAAAAATCTTAGAACAAAACATTTTTTCCAAATTTTGTTCAAATAAAAAAAATAAACATCCTTATAAATTTCTGAAACTCTACCATAAAAAATAAAAAAAACTGGGGAAAGAGAAGAAGAAGTAGAAAAAATGTGGAGCCTTGGTCAGTTTTTATGAAAATCCAGTGGTTCAACCATTAGACCAGCAAGCAGACAGGAGAACATAAAAGCCACTGCTTGATAACACTTGCCAAGTCGCTAACTAGTGATTGTAAAATTCCTTAGTAAAAGCAAACAGCCAAAAAATGCTGGGTTGGCTCTGCAGTGTCCATAAAGGATCACGACACACCCCCCCCCCCCCCCCCCCCCCACTTGTCACTCTATGCTTTCTTTCTTCATGCTGATAGTGATTTATTAGTCATTCTGTTAAGTTTTTGCTGTATGTATCATTTACAAACATATATCAGCTTGTCTTTGTTAACTTCTAAATATTGTTCATAATAATATGTTTTTTCTTTTGTCTAGCTTATTCAAGGTTCCCAAGACATCATTGACATGAACTTGGGCAGCCCTGAATACATCAAGAGAAGCTCACTGGGTTCCGAGCTGGATTCTCCTTTGGATCCTGACAAACCTGGTTAGTTGTTTAAATATGCTGTCTGAGATCTCCTCAATGTGTATTATATAACAATGCTAACGATAACACCTCGGTAGATTTTGCTGTTAAACAAAAGGGAAGAAAAAAGAAAGGAAAAAGACAGTGACAAGCAACCAAATAATTTATTAGTAAGTAAAGGTAAAGGAGACTTTTCTTCGTCTTCAGGCATGCAGGGCTAGACCTTTATTTTTATTGACCAATCGGCACTTGGTGGGTGATGTGGTCAGCATCCCACCGGTGGCTTTTACTTCCCAGGACTGCACTTGGTACCCACTCAAAGCTGGGTTGACCTGAAAATCTAGGTCATTTAAAAAAAAAGTCAGGCTCCATCAGATCCAAATCCATGACTTTCCGATCCGCAGGCGAGCGTCTAGCTGCTACACCATGGCAACTAAAATAATTTGTTGAAATCACGACTAATTACCGGCATCCTTGTCTTTGAAGCCAAGAGTGTATCTGCCTGAGAGATGAGGTGCCGACAGTTTGCATACAAATAATGTGCATCTGCCTGAGAGATGAGGTACCCACAGTCTGCATACAAATAATGTGCATCTGCCTGAGAGATGAGGTGCCCACAGTCTGCATACAAATAATGTGCATCTGCCTGAGAGATGAGGTACCCACAGTCTGCATGCAAATAATGTGCATCTGCCTGAGAGATGAGGTACCCACAGTCTGCATTCAAATAATGTGCACCTGCCTGAGAGATAAGAAGCCGACAGTCTGCATGCAAATAATGTGCATCTGCCTGAGAGACGAAGTACCCACAGTCTGCATACAAATAATGTGCATCTGTCTGAGAGATGAGGTGCCCACAGTCTGCATACAAATAATGTGCACCTGCATGAGAGACCAGGTACCGACAGTCTGCATACAAATAATGTGCACCTGCATGAGAGACGAGGTACCGACAGTCTGCACACAAATAAGGTGCATCTGCCTGAGAGACCAGGTACCGACAGTCTGCATACAAATAATGTGCACCTGCATGAGAGACGAGGTACCGACAGTCTGCATATAAATAAGGTGCATCTGCCTGAGAGACGAGGTACCCACAGTCTGCATGCAAATAATGTGCATCTGCCTGAGAGATGAGGTACCCACAATCTGCATTCAAATAATGTGCACCTGCCTGAGAGATAAGAAGCCGACAGTCTGCATACAAATAATGTGCACCTGCATGAGAGACCAGGTACCGACAGTCTGCATACAAATAATGTGCACCTGCATGAGAGACGAGGTACCGACAGTCTGCACACAAATAATGTGCATCTGCATGAGAGACCAGGTACCGACAGTCTGCATACAAATAAGGTGCATCTGCCTGAGAGACGAGGTACCCACAGTCTGCATACAAATAAGCCATATATGGCTCTATAGTATTAGCAGATGTGCTATTGTAAAACGAATATGCCCACAAAACTCTAGTCCTGGAAAAAGAATAAAGCCTAAAAGTTTATGACCAACCAAAACTTGCCACCAGAGATTACAGCTGGTAAACACTAAGAAGAGAAATTAGACTGGCTAAAAGACTGCAGTTTTTGGGGCACATTGATTGAATGGCAGGTAACAGCAAGACAACAACTGAATACACAAAAGAGTTAAGTGGAAGTAGACCATGAGACAGACCAAGAAAACTGTGGAGAGATAATATACATGCTGACATACAAGCACCTGGGGTAACTAGTTTGAAATAGAAGGCCTGTTACAGAGATAAATGGGTGATATCTGCAACGGGGAATCTCAAAAGCCCAGAGTGCTGACAAAATAATGAGAAGATATAGATAAACTGAGTTCTGATTTTAATATGTTAAACTAATTCCAGCAACCTTTTGAGGTGCACTCATACACCAGTTTACAAGCATGTTTGGGGAAGAAATGTTATTTTGTGATTCAGTGTTACATTATAACAGAGGGGTAAAGTGATCTTGTACTTATCAAGTTAAATCTCTAATACAAGTTTTTTAAGGCAAGGTTATATAGAGCCATTTATAATGTAAAGCCGAGGTGTAGCTCTAGACATTCACCTCAAGATCATAAGGTTGTGGGTTCAGGTCTTGACATGGCCTGACTTTTCTTTTTAAAAAAAAAGACCTTGGCTGCCAATTTGACTCAGCCTTGAATGGCTACCAGGTAAAGTATAGACAGCCAGAATAATAAACTAAAGACAGCCAGAATAAAAAACTAAAGACAGCCAGAATAATAAACTAAAGACAGCCAGAATAATAAACTAAAGACAGCCAGAATAATAAACTAAAGACAGCCAGAATAATAAAGTAAAGACAGCCAGAACTAAGTCATACATCAAGTTCTGGTTGTCTGTTTAAGTCTAGCCCTGTATGCCCAGAATTTTGCATGGAAAAAGGTCCTGTGCTTACTTCTAGCCGCATCTTTCACCTTTCAGTTGTGATAATGTTTAGCTGACTGGTTTGATATGTTTTAACTATTTTAATTTGCCTCTTCTTTGCATCAGTGTCTTCAAGTGTTCATTTAATGGCTGACATGCTAAACATTGTATATTTACTGTACATTGCAGCGACTCTGTTCTATGACCCAGACTACAAGGATGTGGGCATCACCTACGAATATTTGCAGACCATTCTAGAGGCCCTTCTGGAGGAAAGTGGCTATTACACAGGAAAAGGGAAGCACTGATTCTTGGGCATACACGCTCTCTTCTTGATGGTGATGCTAAAATGCAAATCTGTATTCAGTGTGTCTTTGTTGACGATATGGAGATTTAATGGCATGTTAATTGTTACTATATGTAAGTTATAAATAAATATTGCCTTTACATGAAGGATTTGATGTTGCTAAAACAAGTAAATTCTGCAATAGATGCTGTTGCAAGCAAACAGCTTTGAACGTCTTGACAAGGATTATGTTGATATGTGTATAGAACTTGTATATTCAGGGTACATAGTTTGTTTCAAAGTGTATATAGAATTATTATTATGTTTAAAATATTTAAGCCTGAAAGATTGTAAGTAAAGATTTTTAAGGAAAGTCTCTTCCATTTTTACTCCACAAGGTCACATAAATTATTAATTTATTATTCTGTACTTAGTATGCATTTCTTAATTTGTTCTCCTCCATTCTTCCACTACTTAAATTCTAAGTTGTTATTTTAACCAATTCTGTCTGATAGTTCTGTTGTTCAACTCAGTAAAACTAAAAAATTGTTACTCTATCCTTTTCATACCTGCAGGCAGGGAAATCAGGAGAAATATTTTGTAGACTAGCTGACTGCTAAGACAGACATAAACAGAATTAATAAAAAACATTTTATTTATTACAGTTTATTTCTCTGCTTGGTTTCCACTGTAGCTGCTACATATTTCAGCAGATATCTTTGGCAGACCACTAGGAAATATTTGCAAACAGCCACCAGTCCACTGACCCCGGTTGAAAAACGTGGTTTGACACAAACATTGAGACAGAAAGTATTGAAGCAGTAGCTGCTTAAGAATGTATCTCTTTTATGTCTTTAAGAACAATGGTTTTTGCCAGAAATACCTGTGGTATCTTATGAATGCAAAATGTTTGCTTTCTTGTAGCAGATATGGTATGTCTGTCTGACCTACAGGTGCATAGTCTCCCACAACAATAATTGATTGATATACAGTGGTACTTTGGTTATATGTTTGCTTTGGTTTACGTTCTGTTTGGTATACGTTCTGTTTAGATGCAAAATATGTTGCATGATATTTGACTTTTGTTGGGAATGTGACTCACCTGCTAGAGTATTAGTCACGACACTGCACGCTTTCCTTGTTTACCTCTCTGGAGACAAAGCCACAGATGGATGTCAGTGTCTTTGCAGAGAAGTACCATCCTAGCAAAGCCCCAAAAAGCTGAAAAGGACTGATAATGTCACATTTCCCGAAACATCCGGAGGAGAAGGCAGAAGCAAAGTTCTTTGGACAGATCATCAGTAACAGTTATGAGTTATGATTTGAGTTATCTTCTTGGCATTCTGGACACGTCCATAGGTGCTCAGATTCTCTCTTCAACATATACCTCAGCATCCCTCAGTTGATTGTCCCAGTCCTGTGTTGGTTGACAAGACTTCTCGTGTGTCCATTGTGCTTCTCGTGCCTGGCTGTGCTGATCTTTACTCCTAATTCTTGCACTCTTAGCAAAGATGTGGATGTAACAGTTAGGCCTGATAAGCCTCACCCAGATCCAAGCAGGGCAAAAAGAGAGGGGGAAAAATACAGAAAGAGAATTTTGTATTTCAGAAGTTTTATTGAAAAGAATCTCTCTTTCCAAACAGTAGCATCCCTTCCTCCTTCCTTCACACCACCACTCTGGTAGGCAGTCAACTCTTCTCAGAATGGTAAAGTGAGATTCAGTTTTCATTTATTTTATTTAATGGCTTTTTATTTGTGTATTTTAGTTGGCACTGAATAAGTAATTTTATACAACCATATCTCTGTATAATATGCCAATAACAGTAAGATTTTTTTTCATGGCAGTGTATTTATCTCTTATGGGAGAGTGAGTTTTGCATAGGTTTTGTCTGGTAAATGCCTAAAGATTTGGAACAGATTAAGTACATATGCCGAGGTACCACTGTGCTTGTTAATTATCCCTTTAGACAAACTACTTTGAGTCAATTGGCAAAATAAGCTGTGATATATATAGTTTCCAGTGATACATCAATGGCATTTAATGGTTGCAAAGTAGAATATGGTTATGTATTAATGGCAGCAGCTCAGCAGACATTGAGCAACACACATGTGCTAAATTGAGTATGCCGATGTGATGTTGTGCTCAGAAAATATAAAACACACACAGCAACAAAGAAATGAAGTTAACGCTCTAGTTTGTATGCTCAGCTCATTCAATGCCAATCCTCATTATACGCTGGTTTATTTTAAACATATATGATATACTTTCTGAGCTTCTTGTGACCTGCATTTGTTTCACTAACACACTATGTCCCAATTCTTATTTTTTAACTCCTTCTTTACCATAGTGTCAGCATCAGCGGCTTAGGGGCTGCAAATGAGCTTCGTAATGCAGGGGTGCCCCCGTTCGATCCCAGCTGTGGACAGTTTGTCTTGCGATGGTTTCGACAATGGTACTGAGAGCTGACTGTTTAAAAAGCAGTGGAAAACTACTGAATCTAAAATTTGCCTAGGAAAACCATAACCGTCAAAAAATGCTGGGGTTGGTTCTGCAACCTCCTGTAAAAATAAGCAACCAACTAACTTTTTACCATAATGTTTTTTAGGTGAAAAACAGCTGGCATTTTAAAACACTGTCTACAGCCTTGGCTCTTTTGTATTGTTGATATCGACCATAATGTGGCTGTGTTCCTTTGCTCTGATACTGCCTGTCTACTAACGTTGTAAGCTTGTCTGTTGATGTTAAACCTTTCACCCAGAGAAGTTCCCAAACCAGCACTTGAGGTACATGCCATGCTTCCATAAAAGGCACTGCTATAGGGACTTGTTCACAAGAATCCTCACTAAGAGCAGTGATTCTGTCTGCACATGTGCAAATGTTTAATAGCTGCGCCAGTGGCTATAGTTACCAAAAACAGCGTTTGTGTGGTGTTTTATTTTGATAAATGGGCCCTATTTAGAGAAATTACGATGAAATGATTTCCCGTTATTGACAGTGGTCTCCAGCGGCCGGGTCACCATGTTAAAAGTGAGTCATGGTATTAAATTTATTGAACCTCACGAAGATGTAATCGAGGCATCTAATGTAATCCAATTTTTTTTTCAGGCCACCAGCGCGAAAGGGTTCATCTTCCCAGTTGTCCTGGTTTTCAACTTTGTTTTTTTTCCTCTAATCACAAACAATACTGCTTCATTCTTTTCTGCCAGGCAGTCTTGTTTGAAGTGCAATCATTGTTTCACCCCTCCCCTTCCTTTTCCACCTTCCTTTTATTAGTGATATTTGTACTAATTTTCTGTAGTGACATCTGCATAGGTTACTGACATTATTTAGGACTGTCTTTGTAATTATCAGTGATAAGGTTTTGTAAGATACTAATTAATTTGTAGACAGAGGTTGTTCTGTAGCCCATTCTTTAAGTCTCTAATGCATATTTTGTTCAAGGTTTTCGGCATAAGCAGATATACAGATAATTGAACGTCAGGCCATATTTGAAACCTGGCACATTTAACTATACTTGTAAAAGTGTTTAGATTTTCTAGCATTACCACTACTTTTTTATTTTGAGTCTGGCCTTCCTTTGTACTTTGTATTAATTTTGTATCAACTATTTTCTAGAATTATGGTAAACTATTCTGCCACATACTGTTAGTATTACGACTAGTATGGAGATCCTTAGCATGATATCTCTGTGTGTTATATGTTCAAAAATTAGGTGGCCAGTACACAGCCTTAGCTATTGCTGAGTTTTCTGTACTGAAAATGTCAGATTTGTTTGCAAGGATAAAGGCCAGTTTGTACATATACATAATTGTGTATAATAGTTATTTATTTTCTGAGCAGAATTACACACTAAAAGTATTCTTTTCATGTATTTTCACCATTTTATTCTGCAGTCAATATGATATCACAACGTCTTGATTGAAAATAGAGGTCGAGGCAGTCACTGCTGCCCTCTGCTGGCTTGAGAATTAGCTGTACACACATGTCGTGATTGTAACTGACTCACAGGCATGCTTCGTGCAGAGTTGCAAGCGTTGCTTCAGAGGTCTTGGGTAGTTAGCATCGTTTGGATATTTTCTCCAGGTCATGCTGGTGGGTTGGGAAATGAGCAGGCAGAGATGCTGGCCGGTTTTGCATCACTTGGTTTTGAATTGATGTATGACAAGCTAGATGTTGTGAGGGCCCTTTAGGAGCACATGAGAACAGTGTGGAGGCACAAATAGGTCATTACAGTCTGAGGAGAATGGCGCTGCAGGGAGTTAGCAGGGGATCTGGTCGACACTCAACACTTAAGGGAAAGGCGAGACGGATGTACAATCAGACGGTTACTGGTACAATCATAATTGGAACTCTTTGCTTGTGGTTGAGGATGGGGATGGAGCACATATGGGAGTGTCCCGAGTGTTATGACATTGACTCTCAATTCAACATTCAGTATTCTGCTGTCAGTGAAATTATTGATTCTGTATGAATTTACTTATTGAATGAGTCAAGAACTGACATCCTTGCACTCAGGACATTCCCGTGCATGCTCCGTCTTCTTCAGTCTGCGGTTTACTGGTGATTCAGTATATTTATGGGCACCAAAGAAAGATGTCTGTGTGATGAAAGCAATTAGTTTGTGATGCTCATTGAGTAAAAAGTAATGATTGATAAATTATATGTTGTAATATAAATCGTTATGCCATCTTTGTCTATTTTTGCTAAAGTATAAAGAAGCTGTGGACCAGCCCTACAAAAATAAATTGTGTAAAATTATTACTTTTTTGATATTTTCTGTGTATTTTATCTTAACATTCCACCAAGATTGTATTGCTTGAGAGATGGGGGTTCATTTATAATCTAAAATTTCACCGTCCATAAACATTCTATTGTTTAACATTCCAGTACATTTTTATCAAGAACCGTCCTTTCCATGTTTGCTTGTCATGTTGGTATGTTCTTTCATGAGAATATATTATTGAACATTCCTGCCAAAAACATATTTTTAACACTTCAACATACAAACATGTTTTGTGGAC